GGAATCTTTTGGAAAAAGTCTACTTAACCCCCCCACCTTTCATACATGGTCTACTTCACCCTTCAACTATAAAACCGTCTGTTTTACCCCCTGAATTTTTCAAAACCGTCTATTTTACCCCCCGGGCGGTTTTTGACAGCGGTTTTGCTACAGTAACAGCGGGTTTGCTACAACAACGGTGGGTTTGCTACAGTGCCGGTGGGTTTGAATTTTCTTTTTTTCGGTGAATCTTTGAAAAATCACAGTAAATCATAGAAAAATCATAAAATAAAAAATCTAATTTTGTTGGACTCCACATGAGTAGATCTACATAGTGAATATATAATACGGTATGCTTTAGTACAAAATTTTTACTGCAGCCTTAGATTGATTGAAAAATCTAATTTTGTCTGTAATTAATTGGAATAATTCATAGCTGCAGCTTCTATGGTCCAATTATGGTAAAATTTTTATGGTACGCTAATTATTGTATGCTTGAACTATAGTAAAAATTTCATACTCATTGGACTATGTATAACTTAGTTATAGATAAATTCTAATTAATTACAGACAAAATTGGATTTTCTAATTAATCTAAAGCTACAAAAAAAATTGTACTAAAGCATACCGTATTATATATTCACTGTGTAGATCTACTCATGTGGAGTCCAATAAAATTAGATTTTTCATTTTATGATTTTTCTATGATTTTTCAAAAATTCACCGAAAATAAATAAAAAATCGAAACCACCGGAACTGTAGCAAACCAGCTGTTACTGTAGCAAAACCGCTGTTAAAAACCTCCCGGGGGGTAAAATAGACGGTTTTAGAAAGTTTAGGGGGTAAAACAGACGGTTTCATAGTGGGGGTGAAGTAGACCAAGTATGAAAGGTGGGGGGTTAAGTAGACTTTTTCCGGAATCTTTTACTCTTAATGAATCTCCTGCTTAGCTATACTACATTTTATGAGTCTCTAATTCTATCTCTGGAATACCATTATTACCTTACACTTATCATTTATTTATCCCTTGACTTACCCCTGTTATAGCATAAGAGTGATTTTATCATAAGTATATATATTTATCAATATCACTATGCCAACACAACTCCATAGCTCATTTCTGTGGATAAAATATAAATAACGATACATGGTATACTCCCGGGGTGAAATGCTACAATGGTATATTATCTGTGCGCTTGCGGATACTTTAATATATATATAATTTTCCTCTAAGTTTTCAAGTGTCATTTATAATTACCAACAACGCATTCCTGACATCACGCTAGGGATGACAATTTAGAAAAGAGTGATGCTAAGAAATGTCAACAGGCTTAGCAACTTTGGGCAATTAATTAGAAGCTAAACATTGATCATACATTACAACCAAATACACATTATTAAAGCTCAAGCATCACTCCAATCAATAGAACAAAAGTTACACCACTTTTATTTATAAAAAATGATTCATTAATTCTCCAAAAATGGAAGGTTAACACTGTGTTTCACGGACTTAGTGAAAAAGGCTGTGTGGAAAAGCAGTGCTGGATTCAACTTTAGAGCTCAAATTTGAACATGTTTTTCTTGAAAACTCAATCAACATTTTGTTCTATATTTCAATGCACACTTCATACTACAAAGTTTATTTTAACAAAATTTTAGTTGCTTTAGGCAAATTCTCATGTATAAAATCATAAAAAACCTTAAACACTAATGTTGTTAACATTTCATGCAACATAAGAAACATTATAGATGCAACATACAAAACATCACATATGCAACACAGGAATGCTATACTTGAAACATGAGTTGCATTAATGAAATATATTAAACAACATATGAAACACTACAATACAACAAAGACATGCTGTTATTGAAACATAAAATGCATAACTGACATGACACTTGGTGATTATACTTGATGATGCACATGATCAAAGTTTTAATTGCTTTTTAACATCTGGGATATTACAACTAGCGCTTGTTGCCTTAGGAAAATCATATCTTCCTTACATAGTGTCGAGTGGAGATACTTTTTAAGAAAGTCGTAGGACTTGTTAATTTTTATTCACTTATTAATTATTATACACTTGGTCCTACGGATCAATATTCCATATTGATTTTTCGTATACCGACCGTGTTCGACATAATTCCGTCCGAATTAATTCGTTTTTGAAATTCTCGACGTTTCGGAAGTTCGTGTTCGTTTTCATGTCCGCCTTTACCGCTTTTGCTTTCGTTTTCGTATTCAAATGTAGAAGTAGAAAACGGTTGAGCAGTTTTCCAACCATTTTCATCTCGCCGGACTAAATTTGAATCGTCTCTGACATGCATCATATTGAATTCAGTGACTAAAGTTTAGTCCTTGTCACATCAGATGTCGGGTGCTAATCAGTAGAACTAGACATAAGCTAATTATAAAACTAATTACCGAAGCCAAGGCTAATTCGCAAGAAAAATCTATTAAGCCTAATTAATCTATTATTAACATATGTTTACTGTAGCACCGCATTGTCAAATCATACACTAATTAGGTTTAATAGATTCGTCTCGCAAATTAGTCACGATCTATGTAATTAATTTTGTAACTAGTATATATTTAATACTCCAAGTTAATATAAAATCCTTCGATGTGACTGTGACTAAACTAACAACAAACAGCGCAAGTCATCTAGAAAGGCCGAGACGCGTGACGCTTGCCTGACTTGTTCGGTAAACTGGAGTAGTACACGCACTACTACTGTTACTATTCAGCAAGTTTTCTTGCGACCACGCGACAGTATTTACCGACGGTGCTCCCACGCCCAGAGGTCGATGGAGAATTTGGAGATCTATCGGCGTCTGCGTGTCACCGTACCATCGAGACGACACGGATCATGAGCGTTGCCTGAAACCAAACGAACAGCCTCAGGCAGGGAGATCGGAGACCGTGCCGTTCAGGGCTTCAGACTTTCAGTTAAGCAGCACGTAATCGCCTTGACAAATCAAATCATACGCTAGCTGCACTCGTCGAGCCGCCTTATAAATTATTTATGTACTTCTCTGCCGCAGCATATCTTTCACATAGTACTTCGCTAACGTCCTAAAAAGAATAACACTTGTTTTAGTTTTCATAAACTTATATACTCCCTTACACTCCTGAAAAATAAGACCTGCATGTATTTTAGAATTCAGATTTTGTTATCTTTAACTAACAATTAGCCTGATTGTATGAAAAATGTATAGCACAAAATTAGTTACATTAGATTTGTATTTAGAAATATTTTTAATGACCAAAATTTTATTCCTATAAATTATATATTATAAGAGAAACTATAGATCAAAATATGTTGTTGAAGATCACACCAAGTCAAATCATGCTTTATATTTTGAGACATGAGTAATTTGAGTTTTACACAACGAGATCTTTTCCAATATAATGTAATAAGAGGAAAACAGTCTACACGACGAGGTTAGAATCTAAATCCGAATTAACATAATCAACATTTTAAAAGAGGGATGTCATGTGCCTTTTTCAGAAGAAATAACAAATTTCTACCCTCTACATATACATGAGTTGTGCACTCAACTCTGTCTATTCCTACAACAACAGAAAAAAGAAACTCTAAAAGGCAAATATCTAAGTTCCAAGCAGATTAATATACATCCACCTAAAAAGTGAATTAATGTTTGAAAGTCATCATCTTGCCCTTATATATGAGTCAGAGTCATAAAGAGTGATAGCCACCATACATCCTAAAAAGCATAACCTATCCACCCTAAATCTAGGAGAGAGAAGCCACCACCAACAAAACATACCTACCAACTTAAGTGCTCAACAAATAGTTTAACCTATAATAAATCAGCTTATATAATTTAGGTACATTAGCTTATATATCATGCTACCGTAGAGTAGCATAATTGTTATTTCATTTTTTTATTCTGTATATATAAATTTTGGATTATATATATAAGCTCGGGGTACATAAATAAACCCCTAAAAAGTAACTCTAAGAGACTCTCTGTACCATTGCTAATTGTTAGGAATGGAGATTTAGAGGAAAAGTACCCTCTAATAGCTTCATTAACTGACTATCCAAATATAACCATTCTTTATTTCGGATTTCTCGCTAGTCAAAAATAGATGGCAAAAATAACTCTCTAGATTATGTACAAGATATAGAAAATACATTGGATACTGGAAAGATATAGAAAATGATTTTTGTGCAAGTAAGCTTTAGAAAAGCTATCGAAGATGCTCTTAACTATGAAGTACTAGCCAACATTTCCTCTGTAAAGGAGCAATAACAAATTAATTGTGGTATAGCTGTTCCAGAGGACCCATCCTGGGTTTTCCACGTATTCGTTCACCTCCACTGTATTATGCATAAACATAGCGAAACTAGAAGCCAATTGTCATGTCACGATTGGGCCTTCGATCACCATGATGATTGATGGCGTGGCTGTTGTTCCCATCCTGAGCTCAAGAACCGGTCTTGTTGGCGACATGAAAAATTTAACCTCCGGTCCATTCTTGGCTTGGTAGCTCGAGAAAAGGTAGACCAAACTTTTTGTTTGTGCCCCATGACTCCATGAGGCCATGCCCCTATCTTCCTGGAAAGCAACCTTTTTGCAGCTCCCATTGTCATGCTACCAAGCCAGTGCTCTATTTCTTCGTCCCCAGCCCCATCCTACTATCATGACACACCACCCCGAGCATGCAAGTTTCTACAAGTTGCTTGTCCTATGGGTGACCTAAACCAAACGCGCAATAATACTTTCGAATTTTAAAAGGCAAAGGTGAGAATTTAGGAATGCAACACAGAACTCGAGGCAGTATTTTTTTTTTCACAAACGAAGGGCCTTGGCGCTTTGCTCAACGGGACCTGGATGGCTTGATTGATGATGATGAACCAGTTGAGTTGTTGAATGGTGGAAACAAATGGAAGTGGAAAATATTGCCATAGGTGATAGTGATGATACTGGTACAATAAGAGCCATGAAAGAACGAGAAAATATTGAAAAAACAAAGAGAACAAATGTAATCAGGAGCTCGACGATCTCTGTCTATCCACACGACGACGCGGCGCGGCGCTCTTCTCCTTGGAAATGGAGAGGTCCTCCAGCCACTCGAGAATCCTGCTGCTCCGAGCAGTGCCCTTTCCACTCTGCGTCGCCGTCGCCGACGCCGCTCTCTTCTTCTCTTCCGCTTTCTTCCTCCTCCGCCTCGCCTCCGCCGCCGCCACCTCCGCCGAGCCCACCGGCGCGACGGCGTCAGGGGAGCACGAGCACACCAGGCCGGCTCCCAGCAACCCCAGCGCAAGCTTCTTGTCCGCGGGCGCCGACTCGAACCTCGCGCTCCGGTTCCCGCTCCTCGGCGCGGCCGGTTTCCTGTACTCGGCCGGGCGCGGCGCGTACAACACCTCGGGAGCGCCGACGACGCCGAGGCGAATGACGCCCCACGACGCCGGCGGCGCGGACCCGGTGCTGCGGCGCGCTGCCGCCGCGGGCGCGGATGTCCGGCTCCGGCCGCGCGGAGGCGGGCGCGGCGACGGGCTCGGGTGCGCGTAGAACACGCTGCCCGACAGCGAGCGCCGCGGCGGGACGGCGGCGTCGGCGGAGGAGGACGCGCTCTGCTTGCTGGACGACGAGCTGCCGCCGGGGCCGGCGTTGTCCGAGGACGACGCGCTGTTGGACGACGTGCTCCGGCTGACGCAGCTGCTGCTGCTGCGGCTGACGGAGCGGGAGCTGTAGCCGCTGCTGCTGGTGGCCGTCGACGTCGCGGCGCCGTCCAGCGAGTCCGAGCGCAGCAGCAGCAGTGCTGCGGACGCCGCGTCCGCCGAGGAGAGGCGGAGCGGGAGGAGCTTGCCGCCGGAGAAGACCTCGTCGGCGACGCACATGTCGGCCGCCGCGTCGTCCCCGGCCGGCGCGAGCCCGCCGGACGAGAGTATGCAGAACTCGAAGTCGTCGGCGGGCGCCGATGACGCCAGATGATCTTCCGCACCTTCCTGGCACGCCATGGATGGCTTCTTGCTGTCTTGGTTTGAAGTGGGGAGAGAGCAAGAGATGGGTTGTGTTTGCTTGTGCATTTGAGTTTCTTGCTCGGGCAAAGCGAGAGCGAGAGAAGCAGCGTGGGAGAAGGAGGCGTGTTGCTCGGCTCTACTATGCAATGCTCACTATTTATACGTGTTTGTTGGAAAAGAAAATTGTATTAAATACCTGTACTAAGCCATAGGTGGTGAAGGAGACAAGAATGCGTCATAGAAACCTAACCTGTAAATAGATCAATCTTGTAACCAAAACGACCCTCACTTTTAGGTCACATCTGAAGAAGATTTTTTTTGTGTCTAAGCACCTTCTAGATAAAACGCGTAATTTTGCTAAATCGAATAATTATATCTAGAAATCTAGGAACACAAGACCATGTTCTTTTTCCTTTTTGGTGAATTGCACAAATTAAGATCTAGTATTTGTTTATTTCCACCTTCACATATTCTATCTTTCTCAACTTGATCTTCCGCTTCAACACTACTCAAGGTTCCATTTTGAAAAAATCTTCCTATTACTAGCTAGACTGCTACAGCATGGAAAATTTCCCTGAAGAGTTTTATTTGCGCAAATCACAAACTAGGCGTATTGCATTTTTTAATAAAAAAATGTAGTAATATAATAATGGTTACCTATTATGATAGAGCTCGAAGAGAAATAGAGACCAGCAGCTTGATAAGGAAACGTGTTTAGCTTCCTTTTTATTCGGCATGTTGTTGGTTGGTTTCTGGGCTGATAAGCTCGGCTGGTGCTGGTTCGTTGGTTGGTTTCTGGGCTGATAAGCTCGGGTGGTGCTGGTTTGTTATGAGAGGAAAACACTGTTGTCTTTCCTTAATCCTTTATTGCTGCACATGGCAGTAGAGAACTACCTCTCTTTTTTAAAAAAAATCAACATCAAGGAAAACAGCATACCATAAGAAGACGTCGTAAAGCTGGATTGCGTATCAGCCGCGTAACATGTCAGCATCTGGATTACGTACGTGGTGGCCTTCTAGAACGGGCACAGGCTGATTTCTTACTGAGTGTTACATCGGGGCAGCGCGAGAAATCCAAGAAATTTCAACTGTTTTGACTCCTATCTCGTCTTTTGGTTATTAGCAAATAATAAACCGAAGGAAACCAGGAATCTCAGAACCTCGCGCCACATTGTTACGACGAGGAACGAGCCATGCCGAATTTTATTTTTTCCCCCACAGGGTTCTTATTCTGCACGATTATTCCCTCGAAAATATTCCATTGCGGATATATATTCTATCAGCAATGACGAATTTAACAACGTACTTTGAATGAACTTTTGTTAGAATGAGTGAATGTTTAATTTGGCAGCATATGTATATCTATCTTGACCAGATTCTCGAGGAGCCAAGCCATGAAGAAACAATCGGTAACCAGGATTGATGAACTGCAGCTGGAGATGGATGGAAGCAAAGCAAACATGTGGCATTATTATGCGACAGAGATTACAGGAATCCAGTGGGCTTACCGAGAGATCTCCCCCCACAGACTGTAATCATGCCCACACAATGATCAATGTTATTGCGGCCATTTGGAACAATCATGCTCAGTTTGTACCAGCATGACACAATCTTTGTTGGCTACGGGTCAATTCGTGCCCGATTCTGAATCTGCTAATCAAATAGTTTACGGTGTACGATGTACCCCTGGAAGCACATTTGTCGATATGCCTTGCAGTTTCGCAGTTAATTAGATCATGACAAGAATAAACCAATCCGAGGAGTCTAAGGCGACACGGCAAAGATTTGAGACAGCTAGCTTTAAACTGACTCCATCGAACCAGTGGATATGATGTTTGTTCTGCAGCAAATGCAACTTGAATTTTATTTTAGGGTTTGTTGACACTTTGTCCTTTCTCCAATCATTGATCGAGTTACTAGCGGACAAACGACACGCAGGACGGCATGTGTTACTGGAATACACTGTATGCGTGCATTTGTCTTTCAAGTTTTTTTCACTGTAATGTAGAGAAAGAAGTGATCTAGCGCTGCACAAGCCACGTTTGGCAGGACCGCTGCTTTTATATATATCAAATCTTTTGATCATATAAGGTATCCCATTTCTACACAAAGATGTACACGTGGACAACATAAGGGCTCTTTTAGAGTTTTGGTGGGCTCCACCATCTTTTAGTTTAGGCTTAGTTTGGAGGAGCTAGATGTGCAAACGTTTTTCAGTACCAAAAATAGTTTCTCCCCTCTAGGCCTTGTCTCGCAGAGCCGTTTTATGAGCCGGCGTTTGATAGGCCTTCCCCCAAGAAATCAGAGAAGCCGACGCTAAAGCCTTTCTAGATCGAAGCCCTGGCGGGGAAGAAAGAGATGGGCGACCTAGTAGCTCACTTGCTCGTGCCAGGGCTTCCACTGCCTGCCTCCTCTAGCGTACGGGAGCTGAAGCCGCTGAGTTGTTCTGTGCTGTTCTTTTTGATAAGTGAGGCCGGTGTTGTGTTGGGTCTTCTTGTTTGTTTGGGGACAAGGGCACAGGGCGCACAGCATGTTGCATGTATGTGATGCATGCCTGGTTTGAAGGAGAAAAAGGGCGCCGAGCTCGCTCTGAACCGTTTTAAAATTGGAGGCACGGGTCTCGTGCTACTTACATTATTACCATTAGATTGGGTTTCAGTATTGCTGTGTTGGACATCCCTGATTAGGGCCGAACATAACCTGAACAGCAGAAGCACGCTGAGGCCAGCAGCCCAGCAAGCAAAGTAATAATAGGGTGTGTCTTCGAAATTGCCCTCTGCAACCGGTTTTCAGGCTGTTGATCTGTCATCTGACACATCCAAGGCCAGGTTCTGAGCGGTGCGTGCGGGCGAGCGTATTTTTAGGTGCAACACATAATTTGTAATTTTTTTTAAAATTTTGTGAACAATTTTGCATATATTTCTCTGATATCTACGATCCATAGAAATAATTTGTAAATTTTCTGAAAATTTTGGCATATATTTGTATCATCTCCAAATTACGTCACTCTGTACAATAAATTACACTGAAGAAATCATTATAAATATAGTAATAAGGCGGTGTAAATATAGCTATAAGACGCTTAAGTGCGTAGGAAAAATCTGGTTGTTGGAAAAGGCTAAAACAACCGGTTATTGGTTAGACATGTTCGTTTGGACTTTCGAGAGTCATTCTAATGACAATCTCTCTCAATACCTTTTTACCCTGCAACAATGTCTCGATATCTTGTTCCGCACTTTGAAGAGACATCCTCTCTCTTTGTCTTTGCATTGACCGGCGAAAAACCAAGATTAGAGGATGGGATATCTGGAGATCTAGTTGAAAAATGTATTGTAGGGATTTTTTCCCCGCCAAAAACTCTGTTTCTATCGGTACGCAAGGATATAATGGAGCTGGTCTAACTATTACTGTTAGAGTGTGCTTGGTCAGCTAGAGATTGTAATAGCCTATAGTGGATTGTAAAAATTGGGTATATGTTTTCCAGGAAAGTCCAATGTGCAGTTTGGTCTTTTCAAAATGCACACAAGTTGTTAAAAGCTAGGCGCATATCGTGCATGCAGATGGATCGTCGAATTGTTACAATCCGGGCTGCTACAAATCGGTAGCAAAAGCCAGTTCGCACAGGCTGCTATCTATGGATCATCTAGAAATTTTAAAAGCTGTATAAAGGCTCTAACTGATTCAAATTTCAAACATGCCCTAAGCTCATGAAAAACACCAGCTTTCAGATGACTAGTCAAATTATTTATATCTGAAAGTGGCCTTCCTTGATTCAGAAGGAGCTCCTCCTGCATGAGTTCTAGAGACGAGCATTTATTATCTCATTGCTTAATTGACTTAATAGTCATGGCCTCTAGAATCTAGACGCTTTTCCTCTTTGCCGCGTTGAAAAATTGATCGACACTGCAGGACGGCCTCACCATCTTTCGTCTGAACGGAACAAGTAAACCCCTCAGTTAATAGAAACTGTGACTACTCCACTCTCCACAGATCAGTATCATGAAAGGTGCCCTGCCCCTGGATTTTTTGTTTTAGCTTGGACTTCTAGTGTACAAGTTATAGTATCTATACTCAACACAACACAACACACGCACACCCCTAGAAGACCTATACACCTCAAACGTCTTTCTAGAAATCACCGAAGCCACACGAGTCTCATAGACGACAGGCACATCGTAGTCTCATTGTAACGCCACGCGAGTATCCAGGACCTACAAGATTTTTTTTTTTTGAGAATAAATCCCACGGTGGTAAATCACTTAGCCAGCTCACCATCCGAGCTGAGGCTCGGTCCCCCTGGATCCTGGAATAGTTGTGATGTGTCCACAGACTACTAGCTAAGGTCTACACCCATAAAAAGTAGTTGTTTTCTAGAAGAAGAAGAAACTGGTAGAAATGGCAAGCTCCAAACGTAGGGGTTACGTCTGGATAGATGGAGCCACTGAAACGATTCAGCAAACAGTGGATCAGATATGAATCATGATTTGTTCGAATAGCATGGGGCATGGGCCATGGCACATTGCCGAGATAAGGTAGTTTTTTTTTTTTTTGAGGGGAGCCGAGATAAGGTAGTAACATGGCTGCAAGAGAAGGCCTAGGACGTGCCCCACAGCCCATCTGTCATGTGAGCCCAAAATCGAAGCAAACGAAAAGGACAAGGGCGACAAAATGGGCCGGCCCATATGGATACTGCTCCAGGCCCGGGCCGAATGAGCTGAGCTAGAACGAGGGCTATATGCTACACGCTTAAATACATCGAACGAAATCCATTCAAGTCCAGTAAAGGCGGCTCCACTCCAACAGGCCTAGCGAAATCGGCAGCTGATTTGCAGGATGTGGAATTTAAAAGAGAGAGAGAAACATAGCAGCTGCACAACGTAAAGGAACGTGGGGGCAGAGAGGCAGAGACGCTGAGTTGTATGGGAGCAGATATACCTCATGTGATTTTGCATGCAGATATACCTTGTGTTTCCAAACTGAATAATTCAGAAGCTACT